CTATCAAAATAATTGCAATATGTTCTGGGTTTTTTTGGCAAATCGTGAAGCCATATTTTAAAGTCCCAAAAAAATCCCAGTGTGAATCATTTTATTTTCCCTATAAATTAGAAAATAATTTAGGGGGCCACATGGCACTCTATTGGGGCCAGATTTGGCCCCTGGGCCATAAAATGAGTATCTCTGATTTAGAGCATCATGCTATTCTCATGGTGTGTATGTTTGGTGTATATGGATGTGTGTGTGTTACTGAGTGCTAACTGTAGTTTGATTGTACATGTATGGTGATAATTGTGCATGTGTCTGAAGACGCTACGTTTTTTGAATGCCAGAGACAAATTTCTCCTTAAGTAGACAATAAAGGATCATCTTATCTTTTTACTTTTGAGAAGCTGGAACAAGTAAATATTTGGTATGATTGATCACTAAAACAGATTCCGATAAGTTTTCTGTCCATTTACTAGTAATTGCAGCTCTACACATGATAACTAAGGATGTTTTACTCTCTTTTAATGTTGCTTTAAATCATACACACTAAATGTTGTAGTGAAATACTCTCAGTGTTTAGAGACCTTAAATGACCCACTTTGATAATGCATCAACTAGAAGAGAATAACCACAGCTTTGTGACTGATGTGTGTTTTTGTGCTGCATTTTCTTTTGAAACAAACTACTACTAAGCTACTACTGCAACAGGTGACTGTAATTTTAAAAAGTAAATGGATATCAGCTGACATTTCAAACATCGCAGCAGAGAGCAGAATACAAGACATAAAATACAACAGCCCACAAAGTATGTACGTAAAGCTACAAATCAAAGTTAAACATGTTCTTCTTAAAATTCTGTACCAGACCAAACACACGATGCATTTTAACTTCAAACAGTGCTGACATGCTGCAACTATTCAATTTGACTTCAAAACGTTGGTCAGTAAACACATATTTAAGAAATAATCCTGCTCTCTGCTGTGTTTGTTGCAGCCTCAGACGCCAGAAGTCAGTCCAAATCTCAACTCAAATGCAGAACTATTTCAATACTGCAAAAGAAAAAGCAAACTCTAAGACTCTAAGCCACCACCCCTCCCTGCTGCCTGTCGCTGGCTATTTCTATGACTCTCGTATGAAACACTTTTGACGTTAAACACCTGTTAACTTTTATGTCTTGTGAGAGGAGTGGCTGAATGGGGGAGCATTATGTTCAGCCCTGGCCAAATCCCCAGTAGAGGAAAGACCACTCCCAGTGCAGAGAGGCAGCGGCAGGAGTGAGTGAGCCCCCTTATCCCCACAGCCTGCGAGGATCCCCTCGGCAGTTACCTCGATTCCAGTTGACAGCTGTGTGAAACCACCATCTTTCCACAGCTCTCTGCTGGATAAACTGCAGCGCGACCCACCAGCAGACCTGCTTAAGAGGCAGAGTGAGGCGATGTGAGGAAGCTTATGTTGTTGGTGTCTCGTATCATAGTGTTTTTTCCCTGCACTTTTAGATGCTGAAGTGAGGCTGGTGCAGGGTGTCCTGCCAGAATCCACATGACCCGTACCACCCATTATGAAGAGTCCCAAACTGTGCTGTAATTATGAGGTACTTGTGCTTTGGTAATTTCATTTTATATGACTTTATATTTCTACTCTGCTGCAGTTTGGAGGCAAATATCATGCTTTCTACACCTTTTTTTTCCTAACTTACTGGTTACTTTGCAGATTTTATTTAATAATACAAAATTTAATCAACTAATATTATAGATTATGCTACCCAGCAATATATTAAAGGAATACTTCAACCCCAAAATGACCATTTGTATATCAATTACTCATCCAGTGTTATGTTGAATTCATGAAGAAAACCTTTTCTCACATGCCTCCACAGTGAACAAAGAATCCAAAAACGAGCGACCATGCTTAACAACAGCAAAACTATATCAAAAGATCGGTTTACAAACTCTCACACAACTCGTGCAGTACAATCCAAGTTTCATTTGTCCAGTCGTATGCTCAGTACTTCCCAAACAGACAGACCTTCCTGTCTGAAGGAGCTGAATTACAAGTGAAACTTGTCTCTGCTCTCTTCAAAACCAGACTCCATTGGCAAAAACAATAATTTTACCTCCCTGAATTTGAGAGCTGCTGGTCTACCACTGCTTCGATTGGTAGTTTGTGTTATTGTGTGACTGTGGTGAGTCTGATCTAACCCTTCAAAACACCAAAAGGAGAATTTGTAAATGGATCTGTTGATATTGTTTTGCTGTTGTTAAACCTGGTCATCTATGACTTCAATTAATCAAGAATTTTCTTTGTGTTTGGATTCTGCGTTCACTGTGGAGGCATGCAAGAAAACTTTTCTTTACAAATTTAATGTAACACAGGGTGAGTCACTGGCATACAAATGATAATTTAGAGGATGAAATATTCCTTTAAGTAGTTAGAATCAGCCACATTTAAGTGATGGTTACACATTATTACATCCATAGTTATAATCCAATAATATATATTATTCTGAGCTGGGCCATTCTGCATAAAGAGTACTTTTACATTTGGTACTTCGAGGATATTTTGATGCTGATATTTATGCACTTTGAACACAGTAAAATCTTGAATACAGGACTTTTACACTCATTACATGTGTCTACACTGTGGTACTGCCACTTAAGCAAAAGATGTGAGTATCAAGTATTCAAGTATCATATTTTAGAAAACACTGGAAACTGGAAACCGCAAATATTTGGCATTTTTGGTTTAAAAAAGAGACTGAAACAAATAATCAATTCTCAAAATGGCTGTTGATTTTTTTTGTATATCCACTAAGGAGGATGTTTTGTATTTATGACCATTTATATTTTTCCACTCTGAGTGAATATTGTATTTTGTAGAAACTATTGTAAAAGCTGGGTAATACTGTCCTATGTATTGTTGATCTATAAGTAACACGACTGTTGTTTTAAACCGTTTTTTAAACCGTTTTCTGTTTTTGTGTTGCATAACTGATGAAGGCAATATAGCCGAAAATGCTGACAGACGATGGAACAAAGTAAAAGTTTGACTTGTTTGTGCCTGAGAGTTTGTGTAAGAATATTTTCAGGTTCAGTAGATTCACCTAAAAGCAGGTCAGCATCTGTGCAGCAGCAGCTCAGCAGATATATTTGGATTATTAACTTGTGTTGCTGCGTTCTCTACCTTTCTGAGTTCTTACTGTGAGGTCCCTGCTGAGCTGAGAGCAGTCCTCCCTCTCATACATAAAACATGCGGCCTATAAATCAGCCTAATGTGTCTCAGACTGCTGATACTCAGCAGCAGAAACCCGCTTGGCAAATTCAGAAATCATTTTGGACTACAATGCAAACGACATATAATAAAATGACGTCTCAAGTCGCTCCAATGGCATCAGTGAGTGAAAGGAGCGCTGTTCGTCTGCCAGACCCGGTGGCTAAATGAAAGCTGATCCAAACCCTTTAAATGAGAGCTAATATTTTAAGGCTTGGATTGCAGCACCAGGAAATACCTGGGAGAGGTACACCTTTAAGGAATCAAATTTAGCAATCCGCAGGAATGGCTGGAAAACTTTACCCAGAGAAGTCTCTTTCCGTAACCTCTCTCCGTGCTTTTTTGGATCCCGTAAGTTCAGGTGCAGCGATTAAAGCCTCCTAACGTGTTAATGATGGTGGAATATTTCATTCTGAGTTTGTCAGTTTTATCCCCCATTAGCAGGCAGGAATGTCCTCTCCTCTTCTCCGCTCACAGGGGATTGGCTAATGTCTTTGGCTATTTACACATTTACAGACAGCACATCCATTCAGGAAACAGAGGAGATAACGTTTGAGACATAATAAGGGTAAATTAATAAAAATGTGTATATTCTACTGTGTGCACTGTTCTATCTTTACATAAACAAACAGGTCAAACTCCCAACCGGGAGCAACACAGTTTAGGTTTTCTTCAGCCGTTGTAGAGCTGTTTTTTTTTTTTTTTCCAGGATATTATGGATATAAAAACATGTGTGAATGTTTTAACCACAATGCTCATGGATTTACGAGTCTATAAAAATAAAAACGTAAGACCTCACTTAAAAATAATAAGACACCAATTTACTTTCATTTGCCTCTATTTTTGAAGAAGTTTTGTTAAAAATAAAAAAATACAAATTCTAGTTATTGACCACAAGTAAGAAACATTGAAAAAAAGGAAGCAATATTCAGTATTTTTACATTTATGAAAAAAAAACAACAAATCTTTACATTGACAGGTAGGCGAGATATCTAACACCATTATATTGATATACACTTAATGTAAAACAATACATGTAACGAGATTACCTCCGTATAGAGAGTAAGAAACTTTGTGTGCAGCGGCTGTTGTTACAAATATGTCATGAAGGGTCAGTTTATAGATAAAAGTTCACGTACTGTGTTGTCTCTCATCTAATACTGCTGTTGTTTCAAGCAAAAAAAAAAAAAACAACTTCCCTTACCCCCTGGATGATGTAAAAACAAAGTGTAAAAACAAAAACTTAAAAATAGTGGTAAAGAAAACGTCTCCTTTCATTCACAGAATGAATATTAAATTATAAAATTCACAGTGATTTCTATGTACAGGTGTACGGACTCACAGTCTCAGCAGGAACTGAAACACTCAATTTCAATTCACCCTCTTCATGTCAAAGCGTGACTCGGCAGCTCGTTAGGCCTGTGATTGGCCTGAAATGCTCTGATTCACTGGGTATTACTGAATAAACGCAGGAATGATGAAGTCTGATCCAAACCATCTGGGCGTAGTGCAGTAGAAGGTATTCTGAGGGGATTCCTGCACAGATCCTCAGGTTTACACTCGGCCATCAGAGGAGAGAGTTTAATACTATCCAGAGCCTTTCAATATCTACAGTCAATGAAGCAGAAACAGCTTCATGTGCCGACTGTAGACGCTCTCTGACCCCCCGACAACAAAACTGACTTTGAATATGGAGTGGAGAGAAAACGCTGCCGGGGTGAATCAGTCCACCGCTGTCTGAAGTTTTAGCGTTTGGCTCTCTTGGTAGGGGGCTCCTCTGATTTCTGTCCTCCCCGCGTTCGCACCGCAGGGGGGCTGGCCTCACGTTTACGGCCCCCCTTCGCCGCTGCTGCTGCCGCTGCTGCCTGGCCCCTCGTCCCGCTGCAGGAGGGAAACAAGGAGAGAGTGTCAGTCCGTTTGTCTAAAGTGTCATATTTAGGTGCTGTGAAAATTTGTCTTTGTTAATTCAAGCGTGAAAAGTGTTGGAATAACAAGAAGTCCTTCACTACATGTAAGTGAACCTGGCGCGTCCACGTTCCCCTTAAAGAGTAAAGTCTGGACATGAGACAGATTTATAAGACTTTTGTAACGTTAACTGGAATTTAATTTGAGTTAAAAAACAAAATGAAGAATCATTTCTGACAAAATTTCCTAAAAAACTACAAATGCAGAACTGAGCGTTTCAGGAGATCCTTCGTCCCCACGGCAATGAGACTGTTTAATACCTCCTAAGTCCACTCACACACACTCACACGTATCACCTTAGCCACAACTGGACTGGACTGTGGAACGGGCAATTTTAATTTAAAGAAACAACCCCCCAGAAAAACATTAACTGAAGTAGTAAAATGCATTTTCTCACATATTTAAAAGACAAAAAATAAACATTGCATACAGTTATAATGGGAATCACTCATCCCTTAAATACATAGGTACTGATAAGGTATGTTTGTTGTTTGTTTTAAACTCATTTTGAAAAGTTTGTGATATTATATCTTTTGTATTTATGATAACTTCACCTTTTAAATCTGTGTATCTCCGAGAGTAAATCTGTAAAAAGTATTTTTCTTTTTAAAAAAAGGTAATGATGACCTATAAGTGTACAGAGTCTCTACAGTTTATCTAAAGAAACCAGAAAAAAATTTGGAAGAAGGCACGTCAGCCAAAAGAATTTGGTGAGTGAAATTAAGCTTAGTGTACTGGACAAGAGTTGTACAACATATATGTATATATTTTAATTTTTATAGACTCTTATCGGAGAAGTAATCCCCTATTTTTTATACATTTCTGAGTGAACTTTGGCCATTTAATATAGTTTAAATTTATTTGAGATTTTACAGATTTTAAAGACCCGTGGATACTCTAGGTATGTAATGAAGTCACACTAAGAACATGAAGCCTCCCACCTAAAATACAGATTGTACATATTATCAAATCAAATTATTCACAAGTCTTTTATAGACACTGATTGTATACCTGCAGTATAATTCCAGATGTTTAACACAAACATCTGAGGCCATTCAAAGTGATTTCATATTTTTATTTTGGGACTTCATAACTCAAAACCATTTTGAAATTCCGGGAAAACTTTTGGGAAAATGTTCCCTTTCACAGAGTGGCGACCTCGTGGTCGTTCGTTGTGTTGAACCTCAATGAGACAAACTCACCGTGTGCCAGCTGCGGTCTCCTCTTTACCGCTCTGTCGACTCGCCCGGGTGGATGGTTTGCTTGGCTTGTTTCTGAGGAGCAGTAAAAACAAATATGAAACAACAGTTGTTGCTGTAGTGCTAAATCTTCCACCGGCTTTCTTTTAATAGGATGTGACAGTGATGAAGCCTGCTGGGTGCAAACATTCAGCACTGAAACAATCAGAGGCTCATTCATCATGTCTCAGGTAGCTGTATTTGGTTTTATCTGCAGGTGTTCTGGTGTTTTATGATCAACCATGTTTTTAAGATGTAAATGGTCTCATTTAATGTGAAATACTGTCTTTTACTGTATGTTTTTTTTAAACCATAAATTGTGTTAACAGATAGGGCAGTTCCAGTGAAGACTGAAGGTCCATAATTGTGTGCAGTCCTGATACTGGAGAACCACTGGTACATTTATATTATAGGTATTATTTTGTTATTATGATGTATTTGTGTCCATGAGCTGTTCAATTACCTTTCAGCCTCCAGGCGAGATGCTAAGCGTGTGGTCGCTCTGGTTGCAGTTCCCTTTTCTTCCCCTTCTTTGTCACCATCGTCGTCCTCCTCTTCGTCATTCTGCTCACTTTCTTCTGCCTTTTTGTCCTTTTTATCTGTTGGAAAGATGATAAAACACAGCCTGCATCATGGCTTTGATATCCAAACTCCATCTCAGACACTTCACTGGAGCTATATAATTATTTAGTATTAACATATTTATAGATGTACAGTAAAAATTCTCCCACTTTTTATTAAGTTATTGTTTATATGTAGTGTATACTGTTGGTAAGTAAGTATTTTATATATTTTTTATTCTTTACAAATTAGGATTATCTTATTCTATCTAATCACAAATCTGCTCGTCCTTTCTACTAACATGAGAAAACAGTTTTATCTTTCACCAACATAGCACCTACATTCTTGTCCAGCAGCAGTGTAAAGCTTAAAACAATAATTAGTAATAACAGTTAAGTAGGGATTATCTCCTTTCTTTGTAACAAAACTTTTCTAGTTTGTTTTAGATCAAGCTTTAAATGTCCTCACCTGAATCCTCTGTTGTTGCTGCTGCTTTCGGCCGACCTCTCCGCCCAGGTCTCTTTGGAGTCGTCTCTTGGTCCTCCTGTTGCTGCTCCTCCTCAGCCTGGAGAGATAACAATAAATATTTAAGTCCCTGAGTCTGATGAGAGCTTGAATAAAACAGTGAATGATTGACGTACGGAGCCAAAGCTTTAAAGATCAGAGGATTAAACTTGTTTTAAGTTATTGCACAGACAATACAGACAGTACACCAACAGTGATGGATGCACATACAATGTTTACAACATTCAGATACATATTTGAACAGAACAACTGTAGTTTCTGAATTTTACTGCCAACATACATCATCTGGTTTCTTCCCGCTGCAGAGCTCCTCTGTGACCTCCTCCTCACCCTCTGTCTGACTCACTGAGGGGGAACAAACTAGGGAAAAAAAAGAAAAATGTACAATACAGAGACTTTAATGATCAAGGTAACTCAAGTTACTCCTGACTCAGATAATGTTGTGATGTTTTGTCCCTACTGTACACTGTGTTTTAGATGCAGTATTCAAGAACCTGCAGTAATGATTATTTCATTTAAGAAAAAGCGTTTCAAGTGTGTGTGTTTTCTTACCACTGTCAGGTTGTTGCTCACTTTGTTCTTGTTGACTGTTGTCCATCTCTACCTCCTCTTCAGCCTGAGTTTCCTGTAGAATCATATATTATTTTTGAAAACACGTAGTATACATTAATAGGGAAGTGAACACAGACTAAGAAGGAAGACCTGAATGCAAAGAACATTTTAATCTCACCTCCATAGATTCCTCCATTTCCTCTGACCTCTTCCTCTTCACTGCTGGTTCATCTGAAATGGAAAAATGATAAACTGATTAAAACCCCATCATCTCTCTCACGCATAAGGACCACCCAGAAAATATTTGTAATCCAGTATTTTAGGTTTAACTCACAGCAAAGCTGCCAGCTTTCCCTCATGTCAACTATCATTGCCACATTACTCATTTTACAGGCTGTTAACGGTGATGACAGCAAAATAAAACTTGTTTAACTCTCGACGTCATGCTATGAAATGCACCAATTAGCTGCAGAAGTTTGGCTCACTTATTCTCTGAGCTGGTAATGCCTGCTCTGGCAGACATGTAGCCAAACCTCTCCATAATGTTACCGGCCATTTATAGTGTGCTTGTACACAAGTACAAAGACACTGCAATCAAAAAAACAGGAAGGAGACGGATGACTTGAATTAAAAACAAGCGTACGTGCGTCAGTGGTCTCTTTGGAGGCGGAGCTTCCTGCAGCTTCAGCATCTTCAGGAACAGGAGACGGCAGATTGTCTTGACTTTCTTGCTGTGCACTTTCCTTTGGTCCACTTTCCTCTTCAGTTCTCTACAGATTGGGAGAATATTGTTAAAAACACTATAAAATATGAGGTACAGTGGGATGCACTCAATGCTTATGTCCTCTACAAAATGTTTAACCGCTATTGCATAAAGTCACATGTCCTGAAACAGAGTGTGGGCCAAAACACACTGGTAGCGAATGCAGCGTGTCAAAAAATACACTCCTGCTATTTTCAATATATAAACCTACACCGGCGGCGGCAAGATGCACGTTGGCACTCCTTCACACACTGCCCTGCAGCTATTTCCAGCCTTGCCGCCCCCGGGATTAAATGTACAGCTTGTCCTTGTAGTAATACACCTGATAATGTTAAGTATTGTTAAGTATCTCACAGTATGTGTGCGTACATGTTGCACATTTGTTAACGTACCTCTTCTTTCTCAGTGCTCTCCTCGTCTTTACTCTCATCCTTCTCCTGATTATCTGAGGATAAATAAATCACAGAAAGCAGACTCAAAACTTTTACATTGTTCTGCAGCACCTATAAGCGAGCATAGACAAGGATAGCTTCTTCATTAAAAAGTATAATAAACGTTAAATCTTTATAGACTTGGGACAATATGTTTCCATCAGCAGTGTGAATCAGAGGAAAAATGTTCAACAACTATTTAAAACATTTGATTCCATTCTACATATCTTAATATCTTGACTCAGTGTGAATATTTTGGCTGGTGCACAGTATAATATGGCTGATAGCAGGACAATATGACAACTAGGATGAAAAGTCTATCATAAAATAAAACGTTTTCAGACTTAAACAACATCTTTCTTTGTCTAATTCAAAGTGGCTCTCACCAGCAGTGGTTTCTTTGGCAGCAGCTCCTGAACGTCTCCCCCCGCGGCTCGGAGTCTCCTCCAATTTCTCAGCTTCTTTCGGTTGGTCCTTCTCCGCCTCCTCGGTGATTTTGGATGATCGACCCCTGCGTGGTGTTCTGACTTCTGCAGCCTTCTCCTGCTCTGGTTCCTGAAGGTAAGAATAAAAGTCCATGAGCAAATCAATGTGGAGTCAAATAAACTGATACAGATGTCAAATAAAAACACATACATGCGAAATAGTTTGCAAAGTACGTGGTTATTTTATGATTGAGGCGATGTGACAAAGACGAGTTACCTCAGCAGACGGCTGCTCTTTACTTTCCTTTTCATCCCTCTTATCACCTGATCAGTCACAGAGACAAACACATTAATTAATAAGGTAAGGCTGTGAGAGGGAGCTAATATCTTCCAAATCTAAACATCACAAACTTTTACTAATCTTTGAAATTTTGCAGTGGAAAGAAAATCTCACCTGATTCTTTCACTGCTTCAACTTTCTGTGTGGAAAGCTTTCGTTTACGTCTTCCTCTCCTCTCTGTCTTCTCTTCCTACACGACAAAAAAAGGTAGTGTACTGTATCATCACCTACATTTATCAACTATGTAAGAGTTGAATTTCAAACAAACTGTGCAGCCTTACTTTCTCTGACAGGTCTGATCCCTTCTCGTCGTCCTGGCTGTCTGTGCTGGAGACATTACCTGGAAAATACAAACAAATATCACTGACTGAGAAAACTGTGAAAAGACCAACATCTACAGTGGAGGAATAAGAAAAAACATAACAAGAAAATTAGTTTTCACTTCTAGTTTCAGCTTCCTGAAGGTGCAGTGAGGAAGATCCAAACATGAGAGTAGTTTTTTAAAAAGTCACATGACTCACTGATTTGTTTGACCAGTTTGGACTGACTCTCAGGTCCACTTTCTCTGATCTCCTCTGTCTTCTCCGGCTCCATCTGAACACAATTTACAAGATTCACAGATTAACAGAGGAACTATAACACGTATTACATCTGAACAAAGATTAAGTGATCATCACTGCGGTTGAACACTTACAGTTTGTGTGTCACTCTTCTCTGGTGCAACATTTTCTTCCTCCGCTTTCTCACTCTCAGCTTCCTCTGCCTGTTGGTTTAGAGGGACGAATTTGAATTTTAGTTTCGCACGAACAATTTAAGAAAGTGCAACAATTAAAACCATAAATGATACCTCACCTTGGGGCTCGTCTTTGTGTCTGTGACTTCTGGCTCAGTTTGATCTAAAGTAACAATGTGACGCAAAATTATTATTAATAATTACATAATAATAAAAGTTTTTAATATAAACTTTCAAAACACTTACAACGTGCTTTAAAATAACAAACATAACACATTTTAAACAGAGAATCAAAGTAACTAAAATCCAAAAACTAAACACAAGAGTAAACAAGATAAAATGACATAAATAAAATCACCAAGAAGCAATTTTTAAAAATGGGGTTTTGAATTTAAATGTGAGACTGTTTGCAATCTTGATCTAATAATTTTTATTAATAGACAATAATAATTAACAATTAACGGTCAGGCAAAGAAAGCCCATTTTTGTTTTATTTTTTCATTAAGAAAGTTTCCAAGCACTCACCTTGTGTTGTGGGAATTTCTGAGATTTGTTCATTGGCGTCAGCTGCAGTTATTCTTTCCTCTGTGGCTCCTCTCGTCTCCTCTGCTTCTGACACGACAGCACCAGCAGCTGAAATATTGTAGAAAGTTAAAAAAGGGAATGAGCACCATGATCTTCATCGACCCACCGACCTCACATTGGAAATCACATGAAATTATAATTGCATGGTTCAAAACACAAGAAATAAGATGTAAATTTAATCAAAAGTAAGAGATAATTAAGTTTACCTTCTTCACCAGCCACTGCTTCTGCTGCCTCTGCTTCTGCTGCTGCTTCTTCTTCTGCTGCTGCTTCTTCTTCTGCTGCTGCTGCTGCTGCTGCTTCTTCTTCTGCTGCTGCTGCTTCCTCTGCTGTTGCTTCCTCTGCTGCTGCTTCTTCTTCTGCTGTTGCTTCCTCTGCTGCTGCTGCTTCTTCTTCTTCTTCTGCTGCTGCTGCTGCTGCTGCTGCTGCCATATTTCCAACTGGCTGTGTTTCAGGAGCAGTTTCTGCATCTTTGGCTTCATCCTCATTTAAAAGAGGCTGACATTCACTTGAGATAGTGTCTTCCTCCTATGTAGAAGACAGAGGAGTAATTTTCCACAGCACAGTAACACCTTAGAAAATACTACTTCCAGAATTATCTTCACTAAACAAAAATATAGATGCAGCACTTTTGTCTTTGTTCCCATTTTCACGAGTTGAAACATAAGATCTAAGTTTTTTTATGCACACAAGACTTAATTATGTGTGTGAATTTGTTAATGTCACTGTTGTTAGTGAGCACTTATCCTTCTTCAAGATAATCCATTCCCCTGACAGGTGTGACATATCAAGAAGTCACACAACATCTATTGCACGTCTGTCCATCCTGGAAGACAGATCCCTCCTCAGTTGCTCTTTCTGAGGTTTCTACCATTTTTTTCCCCGTTAAAGGGTTTTTTTGGGCAAGTTTTTTCTTATCCGCTGTGAGGGTCCAAAGGACAGAGGGATGTCGTATACTGTAAAGCCCTGTGAGGCATATTGTGATTTGTGATATTTGGCTTTATAAATAAAATTGAATTGAAAATTACAGGGAAGTGCTCACTAACATGGATTTTAACATATTTGTGACCAAAATTTGAGAGAAATAAGTCTTCTCTGTGCATAAAAAAGTCTCAAGTCTTTTACTTAAAACGGTGTTCAGTTCAGTGTAAATAGCATTATACATTTTCCATTTTAAAAAAAGCTTGCAGGGAGTAGTGAAATAGACTAAAAAGGCTAGGAAGGATGTCCTTATCTCTAAACAGGACAAAGGCAATTTGATTTTACAAATGTGACTTTTTTTTTTTTCTTTTTTTTTTTTTTTTTTTTACCTGTGAAGCCTCCACATCCATTTCTTTCTCCAAATTTTCAGACACATCTATAAGAGATACATATTTCTATTTAGGGAAACATTCTGACATGTTTATGTATTAAATAATACACACATTTTGCTGTTACTGTTTTGTATTTACCTGCAGTGTTCGGTTTTTCACCAACAAACTCAACAATTTGTTGCGTTGTAACTGGTGACGGCTCAGCTTCAGCAGCTGTTTGCGCAGTCATTACAGGCTCTTCCTGTTCAGCTGCACTGGTTTCCATCGGCTGTGGTGAAGTCTCACTCTGACTCACCTCTGGTTCTTCTCTGGTGCTGTGACACATTAAGGTGGAGGAAACTGTGCTGTCGGGGTCCATGGAGAGCAGAGTCAGAGCTGCCTCTTGCATCTTCATGTCAGCATCCTGCATCTCAGGCGTCACATCCTCCCGACTGCTCTCAGGGGGAAGTCTCGCCTCTGCTGAGGTACAGACGTCCATGAGAGCCAACAGAGCGTCAGCCTCGGCCGGCACAGCTGGAATGTCGCTCAGCCGTGACTCCGTTTCGCCCTCAGGAGGCTCAGGGGTGATGTCGCTTAGTGCGTCACAAGTATCGTCTGAGAAGGAGGTGGTGACGGTGGTGGTGACGGGGTCGGAGTCTGTGCTGGTGTCTTGGAGGAGAGAGCGTTTCTTCAGCAGTTCGTCTGCTTCAGCTGAGGAAAGTGAGGACTTTGAAGATTTATCAGACTTTTCCAGTTTGTCTTCTCTGGCTGCTTTCTTCTCCTCTTGGCTGTCATCTTTCTTTTCTGGGACTTTATCCTTCTTCTCGGTTTTCTTCTTTGCAGTTTTAATGTCTGATTTGTCATGCAGAGGTTCCTCGGAGACTTTACGCTGCTCCTTTGCATTCCCCTCTTTTTTCTTCTCCTTTGTCGCCTCAGGTTTGCTGATGGGTGCACTTCCTGTAGGTTTGACTTCAGAACTCTGAACTTTATCTGTCTTTGATGACAATAAAGTCTTTGTTTCCTCTTTGGATTTTGATTTAGATTTTTCCATGGTTCTTCCTTTTTCTGTTGGTTTTACCCTTTTTGGATCTTTGTCCGTTTCAGAGCTGGACTTGTTCGATTTCTGGCTGTCTTGATCTGCCTTAGTCTTTTCCTTCTCGCTGTCTTTACTGTCAGTTTTAGATTTGGGTTTGTCTCCTGGCCTGTCCTCACTGTGGCTCTTTGATCTCTTCAGGACTTCCTTGGAGTGTTTATCTTTCTTCTTGCTGCCATCGGGCTCCATGTCAGACCGATCCTCGGAGGAGCCGGCAGAATCAGGGCGGAGCAGCTGCTTGAAATCACTTTTAGCTGAAGTTTTCTCGCCTTTGGCCTTTTCCTTTTCTTTGCTCTTTTCCTTATCTTTCTCCTTTTCTCTAATTTTGTCCTTCTCTGCTTTGACAGTCTCCATCGATGGAGTTTTCGCCTTCTTGACAGAAGCATCTTTAGGACCCTCGTCTGCCAAACCTTCTGACAACTTTCCTTCCCTCGTGGTTCCAGCTGTTTTCTTCTCACTTTTAATCTTCAGCTTCTTCTCACCTTTGTCTTCAGACGGCACTTTAATGGCGACACCTTCCTTCTGCTGAGATTCATCTGCCTGATGTTCAGATTTTTTCTCCAGCTTTTGTTTAAGTTTGGCACGTTCATCTGACAAGCTGCGTTCTTTCTCTTTGCGTTCTTTAGGGTGAAGTTCTTTACGGGACAGCCTGTCAAATTTCCCAACTGAGCGCTGTTTGAGAGCCTCCTGGGAGCCTTGCTCCAACTCCAGGATGAAGGAGTGAGTCCGGCCTTTGTCCGTCAGCTTTTTGGGTTCACTGGAGTCTTCGGAGACGCTGCCACTCATCCTTCTGTGCCTCTCATCAGACAATGCTGATTCTGACAGGTTTCTGATCAGTTTCGGTTGTGGAGGTTTTGACGTTGTAGATTTTACTTCCTGAATTTGAAACAACAAAAACATAAAAGCTTTAAAAAAAGTCACCAATCCTGTTGCAAACCTGTTACTCATAATAAAATCTGTGTTAATCATGATAACTTTCATGTACCGCTTTCTTGGATCCTTCTGCATCTCCTTTCTTTTTGCTTGAAACATCTTCCTCTTTCCTGAAGTATGAAATAGATGAATGCATTCATATTTATATATTTTGTATATCTGTACATTTGGCTGTTTTGTTCAGCAGCAGCTGAGCAAGTTTCCGATTACTTACCTTGAGTCGAGCTTCCTCTTTCTGTTGAGAGCCATTTTTTTCTCCAGAACTTTCCTTTCTTTGCGTGCCTCTTTGGCCCTGGGGCCCTCCAGCCCAGCAGTGTCTCCACTCTTTTGTTTTTTGTGATCTGTGTAGGAAATAAAACCTGGTAAATGACGTGACAGTTGAGAGTAAACAAAGCTATTTTGAGGACGTTTGATTTTTAAGATGCAAACTATGAGAACATGGAATGATACTAAAAAATGCTAGACATGTCTCAACTCTTGAGTAGTACACAGTGGGGAGAAACAAAAGGAAAATAGTAGAAGAGGTCAAAAACATGAGATGATAAGAAGCTCTGGAGCCAAATTCAAACCCACAGCTATATGCACATGACACAAAACGGGTGCCAGACAAAAGTTACCTTGTTCTTCAGCCTGTGCTGCCTTCTGTTTACGCTTCTCTTCCATTCGCTCTCTGTTCTGTTGTCTCTTCAGCAGCCTTTCCTCTTTGTCCTTTGCCTATGAGAACACAGTGGAGAGACGGCAGTGAAATAAGCCAATAATTAAAACAAATTACCATAAATATCAGTGTGTTTTTAAAGCTTGTGATCAACTCATTTGCCAAATACAGCCTCTGATTTAGCTTGAAATATAATTAAAGCACTGCTAACACTGTATCTGGTGCTGGGCTACACGGAGAAGGTAAGAGATCACAATATTTTTGACCTAACACCTCAATATTAGTATTGCAACAATATTGTAGGGTTGACTATTGGTGCTTTCACAATATACACAGTGAGACTTTTGATCAATAATCATCAGTAATGTGGATATAATGACTAAATGGGTAAAGGTAAATAATAAAACAGCTAGAGGAGTCTCATTACTTTATTTTAATGCAGCTTTTAAAACCAGGAAAAGACAACACTTAGATATTACAATATCCAAAATCTAAGATGATATCTAGTCTCATATCACGATATCTACATAACATCGATATATTACCCTGCCCTAGCTGAACCTTCAATGTTAACATTAATACAACTCACAGCAGATCTCCGGCGTTCTTCCACAGTGATTTCATCATCCGAGTCGCTATAGTAACGGGAGTAGAGGAAGGGCTTGTGGACGTAGGCCTTGCGGCGAGGTTTGCGCTCTTCTTCTTCTGTGTCTCCACTGGCTGGTTTCTTTTCTGCTTTCTCATCTTGGTCTGGTAAAGGAAATAACATTATTATCAAAACAGGAGAATAAAGCTATAAATTATAAATCTGTGGTGGCAGAGACCATATTTAACACTTTCGAAACTAAATTGTTCAACGTTTGTGTGAAATTTCAGTCAGGAATAAAAAGTTGAGACCGTCTGATGGGAGCTCGCCCTCTTCAGAGGAATCAGACAGCTGCTCGTCGTCTTCACTTTGTTCCTCAAATGACGACAGGTCGCTGGTGTGGACGGAGCTCACGGTGATGTCACTCAGACCCTCCAGGTCAGAGTCCTCCAAAAAGTATTCTGCAGGACAAAGACACGTCAGACTTCAAACTCAGTTTTTTCCACTACGTAAAAACAACCTCACTCAAAGGGAACATTGTGTTTTTCATATATATGTATGTGTCTCTAACATGTATTCTTCTTGTATTTCTTGCAATAACCGAGATAAACAAAAAAAAACGATTGTAATTTGATATCATCCATGCCATTGTTCAGCCACAAAACTTTACACCAAGCCAGCAGATTATACGTCTCTTGTAAAAGTCTCCACAAGTCTCCACATGACGATGCATATAAATCCCTTATCTGTCACATGGGGTTTATCAAGTATAATGTGTGCATGCAGGTTTCAATGCTCTTAAACTGGAAGCAAACACAGAGGGTACAACAGCTCACCTTCCTTTATCCTCTCTCTGGCTTTCTGCTTTGCCTGACTGGTAGATTTAAGCAGATCATCATCCTGCCTCTCCTCTGAGGGTTTTCCAGTTGTTCTGCTGGCAGCTTTATCTCTCTCCTCCTCCTTCTGCTCCGGAGCTCCTGACTCCTCTTCTTCCATCTTCACCTCCTCTGTTAACCCCTCTTTTCCCAGATCCATCTGATCCTGAGAGTCCTCTGTCTTCACTTCTAACGCCTGGACCTCTGATGCCAGCTCGTCTGCCTCCTCCTGTGTCCTTCCATCATGGTGGCTGTCTCCTTCTTCGACAATGCTCATGTCCTGCTCTCCGTCCTCCACCAGCTGCATGGGCTCATCTTGGCCTTTGCGTCCTTTGTCTGAGCTGGCCCTGACGCTCGCCTCCTGGTTCAGAGAAGTTATGGTGTCCAGGATGGACATGGCGTCGCTGGCTGCAGTGGTAGCTGGAGCAGACGAGGAGGCTGTAAAAATATCATGTGTTAACTAGGTGAGTGTGAGCCAGACACTGTTTATGGAGACATTCATCATTCTGTTTCTCATGGTTGATAAAAGAATGAGGTGTTGTGTACCTTGCTCAGGAATACTGCTGTCTGGTTTGGTCTCTGTTAAAGGCAGAGGGGGCAGTGGCTCCTCGGAGCAGCTGCCAGGTGACAGAAACTCACGGACCACCCTCTCCACCTGTGGCCTGAAGATGTGGTTGATTTTGGGATCCACCACCTGGGCTACGATCCTGTCCACTCCCTGCTCCAGCATCCCAGATCTAAGAGGAACAGTTTGGTTGAACTCTGGGTTCTTTGCACATTAAACTAGCTTTAAAACATCAGAAACAGCGAGCAATGCTCACTTACTGCAGCACAAGTTGTCTGATGTTGTTTCTCAGCTGGTTCTTGTTCAGATGAGGGCTCCATGTGTGGTTAGAGAGGTGATTGGAGACAAAGTTGTCCACTCTTTGTTTGAGGTTCAAGTAAGCTGGCTGCAAGACAAAAAAAAACAACAAAGTGATCACAGTCGAGAGGCTGTTTTTTCAAAATTAGATTTAAAAAAAAAAAAAAAAAAAAGATGACAAAGTGCAGACTGTTTTGGTTCTGTTTTGAGAGTCAACTGCCATTTTGCAAACTTTTAAATACAATAAGCAACCAAACTAATACTGTGCTTTTCCATCTTTGGCCATTTGTTTGTGTCCAAATTTGATCAGCTGTCAAAAACATCATGGTGTTACTAGTCTGTCTGATATAAAGCCTCCAATAACTGAAATCATGTTTCAGTTTATAGTAGAGTGTTAACAGGAAGTTAAACTCTATGGGCTCTAATTTACCTCAAACATTAGTAACATCACTATGTAGGTTTACACTTCGTCATTTGCGAGTGAGTTTATAGTGGTTTCTATATTTCTTACCTTCACTAATCTTCAGTACATTTATTGTTTTAATAAAGTCAGAAAAAAGATAATTTAAAGAAATAAACTGGTTGATTTAGCAATAATATTATTGACTATACCCGAAAAAGTTAACTAGCTATCACAATAAAGTACAACAGTACATACAGCCATTTATGAATGCGAGACAGTGATGATATTTTCAATTATGTTAGCTATATTTACACGTAGCATAGTTGCTGCTTAATTGGGCAGCGTTGCATCTGGCTTAAGATAATCTTTATGAAGGTTTTACTGAAACTGTTTAAGAGTTGTGTTGATTCAATGTTATACTAATACTTTGTCCACCCTCCTTGATATTATGGAAGACAGAAAATGTCTTCAGTGTCAGTAAATAAATTACTCCTGAAATAAATGTATAAATAAATACAGAAAAAATAATTAAGCACAGAAATAAAGAAAAAAAAACACAATAGATCACTGCTAAAAAATATATATAAATAAGTAAATACTAAGATAAATGATGAAATAAATGAATAACAAAATAAATAAATCAATAAATGCTTAAATAAATTTGGAAAAAATGCTGCTCTTTGTCATTTGTGAATGAGTTTTTGGCAAACTAAAGGAATTTGTCTATGTATAACCCATATAATATTAATATAACATTCATGTTTTCTTATTCGGTGTTATAATGATGTTTTATGGTAGTTTCTGTATTTTTTCACCTTCACTAGGAGTACATTTATGGTCTTAATAAAGTCAGGGGAAAAAAAGAAAATAATTTAAAGTAATAAACTGGTTGATTTAGCAATAAGATTATTGACTATGCCCAAATAAGGTCAATAAAAGTGATAAGCTCTTAATGTGATGGATTAATATAACCTGTCCGTCTTAACCAACTCTCTACTTTGAATTTTAAGCTGTACTAAAATGAATGAAAATCAATGGCTGACTCAAACGTAGGACAATTTGATGCGTCATGTTACTTCTTTAAAATGACCCCTGACTGTTTCCCTAAACTGGACTACAGTTAATATCCTGGCCCCATGATAATAATAATGATTAAGCATTAACGTGTTAACAGTAGGCTGTCGCTTTGGTAGCACAAAACAGACACCTGCTTTCAGTGTTACCTAAAGTACACTCACCCATAAATGTTATATTACCAGTTATAAGACAAACCAAACGTAGCTAAACAGTAAAACATTAACCGTTATGAATATATTTTTTTAGCCGTTACCTTTGTATCAACGTCTGCCAGGCAGTCCCTCCTGAACTGGTCGAAGAGACCCTGTGTTTTCAGGTGGTTGACGATCATTGAGACCAGCTGCGGGTCTCCGGGAGGTAAACCGGCCATGTTCGATGCAGCTAGCGTTAATTAAAATGAGTTAATACTGGTAACACATCTGTTTGTATCACACTGAAGGAACCGGGCTGCTGTTGTGGTTCATGAAGTTCGAAGCAGGTTTGAACCGGAAGGAGAACTCAGCCTGTGAAATAAACCGCTCCACTAAACCGGAAGAGCTCCGAAGGTTAGGACGTCGTTACCAAAATAAAAGTATAATGATATTTTCGATTATGTTAGTTGCACGTAGCATAGTTACAACTTCATAGAGCAGAGTTACATCTGGCTGAAACTAATTTTCATGAAGGTAGTTTTACTGAAAATGTTAAAGAGTTGTGCTGATTCAACGTTATGCTCATACTTTGTCCACCCTGATCTTATGGAAGACAGAAAATGTCTGAAGTATAATAAAATGATAACTCTTGAAAAAAATGTATAAATAAATACAGAAATAAAGAATGAAATATCAAAATAAAGAAAAAAAACATAAATAACTGCTAAAATTAAAATATAAATACACACATGCTAAGATAACTGATGAAATAATGAATAATAAAATAAATAAATAAAAATGAAAAAAGAAATACATAAATACATCAGTTAATGAATACTTGCAATCTATTTCTGCATTCACCTATTCACCTTTATAGTTCTGTGTGTGTATGCATATGAGGTAGGAGGTCCTAACCTCAGTCTAAGGGTAGGGCACACATAAATAGAATATAAAAAAATAATTATAATTAAGATATGTATTTATTTATGTACTGTTTAACGTTCAAGTTTTATCTATATATGTATGCATTTATTTATTTCTGTATTTATTTCAGCGTTTACCTTTCATGGACTTATTTATTTATGCACTTCTTTCTTTCTTCCTTTATTTTAGAGTTTATTTTTTCAGTGTTTATTTATTCCTCTGTTTATTGATTCTTGGGTTAGTTTTCGTTCTCCTCAGATATTAAATGGGGTTACTATATCATTATGTTTAATTAGTGACCTCTAGTGGTTTGAATGCAGCAAGAAACTTCCACACATCTTTGACATGGTGTCAAGTTGTTCGGTGTTATCTGTTTTCTATTAATTTAAGTAGTTACATAAAACTTGCCTCGGTCCAGACATTTGAAACATCCAATCCACTGAGTTGACGGTTCTGTCCCGTATCAAACACCGCAAATTAAAGTTGCTATCATTTCAATGGCTCCTAACGTACCACGTGTCTAACGGCCGTGTGGTATCAGTGATGGAACATGAGCGTGATATATCGACAGTCTCCTATCGTATAACCTGAATTTCACTGGCAGCACAAGCTATTAATGCAGATACACAGTATTAACTAGAGCATGTGAAGACAAAAGTAATGGCAGCGGTGGGATTCGAACCCACGCCCCCGAAGAGACTGGAGCCTTAATCCAGCGCCTTAGACCGCTCGGCCACGCTACCGTATGTATCATTGATGGTCACGTGGTCTTATAAAGGTGACCTGTACTACCACTGCCATTCTGTTAGTATTAAATTGATCACAAGAGGTAATTTCCTGGAGATTAATATTTTTATTAACTGTGTCTTACTTTAGAATACACACCCACTTCCATTTTGTTGTTGCCAGTCCCGCCTTCAGGCAACTTTTGTTGGTATACAGCACTACAATAAATCCTACCTTCAAGAGGGTAATAGTCAGCTTATTTCAAACTTCATATTTAGTCTGCACTCTTTAATGTAAAAAGGGTGGATACAATTTTAAAAAGGCCACAAAACAGTTGAATCGACACACCAGCAGATATATAACCCCCAGAAAAGGGTCCGACTTATTGCAGGGGGTGTAATTATATAAGACTGCAGTGGTTTAACTCTAGCTAGGTGTAAGGTACCTTATAAAACTGATACCTGAGTGTATTTGAAAACACCTTCCAGAGTTATATCTTAATAGTATGATGCAAAGTTGAAGTTTTCTCATTGGTCATAACCTTCACATCAATCAACCATTCATAAGATGTCCACAAATCCTTTTATAATATTTATTAGAAATTTAAAGTATAGGTTGAGGGAAAATAAAAACATGCTTTCCACCTCAAACACATCATCTTAAACTATTTGCAAATATAGTCATCTTTAATGAGTCTAACAGTAGTACTTTGGTGTCAACACCGTCAGATACAGAGATTCAAAATACAGCTGTGTCCACTTTAAAAAGTTTCAGAGAGGAGAAATGACAGTAAAAACAAAACATCCCTAAGCAACATACTAGACATAGATAATGACATCACACTGTACAATATAAAAAGTGGGTATGCAGTCATACCCATCATAAAATGTGCCAGTATAATGGCAGTTTGAAGCCCGTGGCAGTGGAACCGAAACATGCTGGCCCAGAGTCTCTTGTGAAGGACAGATAAAACCAAACGGGAGGCCAGGAGGGCTCAGGACTTCTTGGCGGAGCAGATGGGGGGTAGGACTCGTCGAGAGTTGGCGCGCACCCATGGGTGGTCGATGACACTCTGTAGTGAGAGGCGATCGATGGGGTTGTGGCGGAGCAGCTTAGAGATGAGGTCCTTTGCACCATCTGAGATGTTTTTGGGGAACTTCAAATCCACCTGCAAACAGTAAGATAGTTTTATAACCCTGAAGAAGTTTTTCTTTACATGTTTTAATAACTGTTGATTGATCAGGGATTTTTTAACAATTACTGCCCATGTGCAAAACAAAACAGTCAACTCATGGTTTGGTATGCCACAGCATTCACAAATTAAAACACTGAATTTAAACAAACATTTCCAGCAACCCAAAATGCAGAGTGAAAATGGGTTCTGCCAGATGGTTTCCTCTGGAAACGTTTACATAACATACACACATTTGTAAAAACTGAGTGTATTAGACAGCCAACACTAACCTTCATAATTCTTTTGTATGTCTCTGAATGGTTGGCAGTTTCAAATGGCGGGTTGCCGACTAAGCACTCATAGCAGAGGACCCCGATGCACCACAGATCCACCTTTTCACTGTGGGTGTGGCCCTCAATCATCTCTGGAGGGAGGTAGTCCAGTGTCCCGCACATTGTACGACGTCTGGTTGGGGTTAAATAAAGAGGTGAGCAGGGAAACGCAGATTCACGTGATGTGATACTGCGGTATCGGGCAGTTTCTGACAGAACACAGTGGTGTGCTGACTTTATGGAACATTAATGGCACTGTGGTTCCTCACCTCAGAGAAGGTGCATGGACGGACCAACCAAAATCTGCAATTTTCAGCTCTCCACGATAGCCAAGAAGCAGGTTCTCTGGCTTGATGTCACGATGAATCACTTTCTTCTCGTGGCAATACATCAGTGCATCAGATATCTCCTCCATATACTGGAAATGTAAAGAGGTTGGCATTGGATCACAACAAGATCAGAGATGTAATCAAATCAAACTGCCCATTATTTGCAAATTATGTCACCCCTACACCAAAAGACTTTTCAAATGAATTTACTGTCCCAGACAAATTTCCAATGTTGAAATAATATCATGGGTTTTGCTAGAGTGGTGGCGCACGCGCCTGTGATCTCGATTATTTGGTGTCAGGTGTTCAAAAAACTCAGTCTATGCTGTCTTAAGCCAGTCTTGTTCTTGTCTTGATGGGCCAGTAAATTGTGTAATATCATCCTAATTTTTTAGTTTTTTCTCATGCAAATGGTGAAGTTCAATGACATGCACATTGTCAACAACCAATAGTTGCGCTCTCTCCAGCATCAAACAGGAAGCAGCAAACTGGGTAGGTAATGAACATAGAGGGGACTCCGGAGAGGCGCAAGAACATGAACAAGTTTCAGCTGAGAAGCGGCTGACGTGAACAACAGTCAGTGTTTAGTTCACTGTGCCCAGCTCAGACCAAAGATCTGCGACAAGATGAGTTGAAACAGGCAATGTGCCGTCCTTTAATGTTCTAAAAACCTGCCGGTTCACACCACTGCACCTAGATGAGATGGTGTATCATCTCTATGCAACAACTCTGTACTTGCGTTCTGATGTTCAGCTTTTTCAGGCTCATTTTGTGGCTGAATATAATTTGTAGCTCCTTAAAATATGAATGAGGATAGTGACAGTGAGATACTGGCTATCTGTTGTTGTAAGAAATCTTCATTTTCTTTTGAACAGTTTCCTCCCACTTAAACCGCACAGCTAACCCACGGAGGCTGGTAGCAAATTGAGGCATCAAAATTAAAGTTTGTCCACAAATACTGTTAATCTTTAGAGATTATATTGATGCCAAATTGACAGTACCAATGTCTGCATATGAAACCTTTCATCTTGTGTTCCTATAATTATGTGTTTGTGCGGACACGTAAGGAATTATTAACGTTGTATTTTTTTCCAAGAGATTTTTTTCCAAGAGATTGGTGCAACATTTTCCACTCAGAGCAGGATGGGAAATATTCTCAAAAGGAATCTAGTTGTATAAGAAACAGTGACCCTGCAAGATCCCCAGTATTTATAAAACCTTTAGTGAGTGACTGAAAATGTGAGATAGTGTCATACTTTACTCTTTTTAAAGTCTTCTAGTGTACGATAGGAATTACTCTCCAACAAATTACCGACTAGGTTCACTGACTAAAACACTACCAGCACAAATGAAAAGATCTGCCCTTTAAAAGCCGTAATAATTCTTACTGTGGCAGTGCGCTGGTCATCGAATCTTCCACATCTCTGTAGCTCCTTGTACATTTCACCACGTGGGGCGTACTCCATCACCAAGAACACTCTCTTTCGGTCATGGAAATAATTGTAGAAGCGCAAGATGTTGGGGTGCCTGAGGAGAAAACAGATTATATTTGAGACAGGCTTTAAACTGTTGCCAAAACAAAGTGGGGCAAAATATTTAAACGCACGAGATCAAAATTTCTATTTGGGCTTATGTCAATATAATTTGAATGAATGTGCTTTCCACCTGATGTGAAACAAAATGCAAGAAGACATAAAATGTTTGAGGACAATGCACTACTGGGTTAGCCTACAGAGAAAATTAACCACTGTTTTCATTGAGCTCAAACAATGTCAAACCTACAAATAGTTCTTGTGATGATGAATTTGATGAATGTTCCTGTAATCGTCAGTAGATGGTAGCAAACAGCCGGATATGAAGTTATAC